TCACGAAATAAAACATGACTTCTTCGACACACGGATGTTACTAATTCGTTATGTAACGAGTGTTTTTATGCCGCTTATGACAGCCAACGATAGCAATATCAATCCGTGCTCATTTACCGAGCCGCTCGCTAATTATTCGCTTACGTTAATTATGGTGTAAACAATTTCGCGTCGACGATTGCGAAACCGTCTATCTCTCGTTTTAGGAAATGCTATTCTAATTTGGTTGATGAATGGGCGGAGATAGCGGCGAAAAAAATACCGAGATTAAGCGGACAACAGTGTAATGTGGTAATCGAGAAGCGTTCTGAAGCGAGAACGAGCGTTTACTTGACGTCAAATCGAAGCGAGATATTTATAACTCGCGTTTTATCGAGGAAAAGTAATAAACAAATAAATTTCTGCAAGCCGTCTAGAAAAATGAATTTTTTCACCGCTGAGCAATCGCTGTTTTCATCGAATATTCGATTACATGAATATTTCATTGCGAAGAATTTATTCTTAGGAAATTCTTGGGAAATTAAGACAATCTTTCTTAATATCTCCGTTTAGAACATTTTGGGCATTCCTTGAGGAATTTTCGAACTTCTAGGAAATCCTTGGACACTTCAAGACATTTCCCGGTTCGGCTTCGATCTGTTTCGAAATGTTAAAAAACGAAAAGAATTCTTTATAAGAATTTCGTACACACAGAATGGTAATTCTGCGCATACCTACAGAATAGTTAGCGTGCAATCCGACGCAAGTCATTTATCAGACGTGCACGATTTAATCGGGTGCTCTGAATTAACGTTAACTCCAACAGTGCATGCGAATCGATCAACATGTTAATTAATATTCCTCCGCGAGGTTCTTGTTAAAAGGAAAGGGGAAGTCGCGCGAGGTATGTTGGCAACAAGAGAGCGCTAAAGACAAGGATGCGAGACAGCAAGAAAGAAAGGAGAGACGCACATCGGTGTGCGTCAAACGGGTCGGTGTGAGTTAATCCTAAACCGGTTATGAACGCATTGATCATCGTGATATCTTTGACTTGCTAATTGGAAAGATAAAAGACAAATATGTTCCGTCCGGGAGGAACGGGAGAGACGACTCTGTTAAGGGTTAATTGTTAAATTGGTGAACCATGATAATCGTTTTTATCACGAATTTCGAGGCACGAAATGACTTTCTTGCGAGAACATCGATTAGAAAATGCAAGTAAGTTCACGGCTGTTTGGTAATGCGACTGTAACGTAATTGACTTCGTACCTTGGGCAAGATGAAACGTCATGGCTGGCTAATCAGTGTGGCCATAACGTAGGAAAAAATTACTGAAGCCTGACTGTGTAGAATATTATCCTGAGTTATTATTGAAATCTCTTCTAAGTTCAGTACATTCTGTTCGTAGTCCGGCAATGCTCAAGAATCATTAATTACAATCTTCAACTTCTCGTCGTCCCGGCGGACACTTTGAAAAATGAAATATTTGTGTAAGTTGATTAGTACCGTTTTATCTTCATATCTTATAAAGAGACTTTTAGGACGCGAGGTCTGTCTACCACCCCCACAGTTAACACGGAAAACAGCGCATAGTGTCCAATCCAAGTCACTTCGATCTTCGTTAAGCTGATCGCTAGCCCAATGAATCCATCCCCGGTACGTCCCACGAGCCGGGGTCTCCGCGAACTGGCAAGTTTCTATCGGGCCATTTACGCGACATAACGTGCCACCATAATTTCGTGCAATTTATTCGACACCGGGGACGTACGCTGAATTGTTACTTGTGCACCGCCTAAGTGAGCGCAAAGTGGTAGCTCGTGTAGTTGGCCGTAGGTGGCCGATACGAAAGCTTGGTCATGTCGTAAAGCACGCGTTATTATTGTTTCGTGGTGAACCCACCCTTGGGACGCCCCTAAGCGCTGCTCAATTCGTTTCTAGCCTTGATGAAATTCCCCGGAACCGAACATTAATAAAACTTCATCATTATTAAAATATCGATAGGCTCTGAAACTTAATTGAATCTTATTAACACAATTCCATAATTGAAGTAAACATGATTGGTACACTTTCTATAGGTGAAACGCAAAGTTTAAACTATCATAATTCTGGAAATTGAGATACGAAGACGCATATGATTAACAATATCAAAGACTCGGTTACTTTCTAACCAAATATTGCATCTACATTTGAAACATAAGAAAGAACAATTTCATTCTACAGAAATATGATATAGTAAATTCCACTCGACGTGACATCATGTGGACCACAATCTCCCAAGAACTTCCCGGAAAAACCATCCCCTATATTTTCTCAAACAACGATTGGAATCTCATCAACACCCCCGACGCAATGGCTCACGGCAGAAGTGGCCCAGTAAATTATGACATTCCCGTCTCGATCGAGCGAGGAACGGGCCGAAATAAAA